CGAAGGGGTGACACGATCACAGTTTATGAGTACTGAGATGGGGACCAGAAATGTGAGAACAGGGGGCTCTTCAGTCCACAAATGTCTAACACGATTCAGTGCCTGGAAGTTGAAGGTAAACAAATTCAGACTGGAAATAAGGCACAAATTCTCAGCAGTGAGGGTGATTAGCTCTTGGAACAAGTGACCACAAGTTGCGGTGGATTCTCCATCCCTGACAATCTTGAAATAGAGAGTGGAGGCGTTTAGAAAGATCTGCTCTTCGTCAAACAGGAATTGATTCAGGGCAGTTCATTGGGCTGTGTTATACAGGAGATCAGATGTGATGATCACGGTGGTCCCCTGTGGCTGTAGAATCTATGAATCCATTAGTAATCCCTTCTGCAGTGACTAACCTTTGAGTTGCCGTTGTATTTATTTGTTCAGTAGTTGACTGTTGCATTCAGCATCAATCAATGGGAAAATATAAAGTAGGAACCGAGCTGGGTGAATAATTCCTAACAAAGCTGAACTTCACCTTTTTGGTTTCTGTTTGTGCATCGTCCTAGAGCTGACTGAGATTTTCATTCATGCATAAGTTATCTGAAATTATTCGCCCAATAATGCTTCTGCTGTGGCTTCTTTACAGTGGGTTTGCAGGTGTTCCGTTTCTGTTCTTTACAGGTCTGAATGTAGCTCTCATGCTCAGGTTTGTATTGCATTCAAAGAAAGCACATTTCAAGTTCACGTTATGTGAATCTTGGCACTATTTCCTGAAAAGAACCTCTTTCTGGAGGCCGAGAGGGACCTGGCCCATGTGCAAGCTCTCGGCAGGGGGTGAATTTCGCTCTAGAATGTTAGTGAGAAGTGAGCGTGAAAGAGGCACTATCCCACAAGTACTGACCTTGTCTTTCTTTCCAGCTTTGCCTAGCAGAGCCCACACCTCATCATGTCTGCTGTCAACAGCACAAAATTCAGTCATCTCACGTTCATCCTCCTCGGCATCCCGGGCCTGGAGGACTGGCACACCTGGATCGCCATCCCCTTCTGTTTGATGTACACTGTTGCTCTTTTAGGGAACTGTGTTCTAATATTCCTTATTGCAACAGAGCGCAGCCTCCAGGAGCCCATGTACCTTTTCCTCTCCATGTTGGCAGTCAGCGATTTAATATTATCTACTTCTACAGTGCCGAAAATGCTGGCCATCTTCTGGTTTAGGGCCAGGGAAATTGCTTTGGAGTCCTGCTTCACCCAGATGTTCTTTGTTAACTTTGGGTTTGTTGCCGAGTCGGCAATCCTGCTGGCCATGGCCTTTGATCGGTACGTAGCCATCTGCGACCCCCTGAGATACACGACTATCCTCACCAATGCGAAGATTGGGAAAATTGCCACGGCCATAGTGATGAGAAGCTTTTGTATAATTGTCCCCGTTTACTTTCTGCTCCAACAACTGCCCTTCTGTGGAAGCAACGTCCTACCGCAGTCATACTGCGAGCACATAGGGGTGGCCAGTCTGGCCTGTGCAGACATAACCATCAATATCTTGTATGGCTTTGCACTGATGATTGTAACCGTTATACTAGACGTTGTATTTATTGGGGTGTCTTACGTGCTAATCCTCAAG